GAGGCGGATAGAAGATGGATAGAGGAGGGGATAGGTGGAGAGGAAACAAACAGGTCGAAGAGGCAGGGATGGAGGCGGAGACGGCGGAAAAACTGCTCTATGTCCAAGCGTGAGCGGTATTCGTTGATCTGTGGGTGGAGGGGGACAAAGGTGAGTACCTGGTTTGCTTCAGGACATGGTCGAGCAGTTTCAGGGCTGAAGAGATTACGAGAGAGTTGCAGTGGGAGAGAGATCCCCTGAGGTTTGTCCGGAGGGAGGAGGGTAACTTCTTCAGGCTAGGCATCCTTAGAAGAGGCTTCGCAGTGGGGTTAAAATTGAATCAGAGATAGTAGGAACTGCAGATGCTGGAGAATCCGAGACAACAAGGTGCAGGGCTGGATGAACACAGCAGGCCAAGCAACGTCATAGGAGCAGAAAGGCTGATGTTTCGGGCCTAGACCCTTCATCAGAAAAGGGGGAGGGGAAGGGGGTTCTGAAATAAATAGGGAGAGAGTGGGAGGCGGATAGAAGAACTGAAACTGACTGTTAACCTTTGTCCTTCTGTACAAAGCACAAAATGTGCCTGGAATTTCTGGACATAATCTGCAGGAAGATGGCTTGCTGTTGAGTGGAGGGTTGTCTGCCCTTCATAGCGCAGTGTGTTTGAAGTTTCTTTTGCACCTTTATGTGCAATAACCCAGTGGTCCCACAATTTTTTTTTGCCAGGCTGCCAATGAATTGACCCCTTCAGTCATTTTAGTTTTAATAGCAGTCCTCTTTAAAAAAACACACGCATGCTGTATTTAAGGACAAAAAGCACCCATAGTATTTCAGGGTTCTGACCTGTTGCCATAAGTGACCTATGAGTGTGAGTGATAGCATGTGTTAATTGGATGCATGGAAAGCATTCATTAAGGGTGATGATGAGAGAGAGGCACCTTATTGTGTAAGGAGATGGGTGAATGCCAGCTATGGACAGACCGATGGGAATGTGAAAAAAGGGCGCAGACAGAGAAGGAAGAGTGTAATTGCAAGATAAACAAGTTTAAGGAATCTGTGAGCAGTATCAAGTTGTCTGGAAATTTGTTTACTTGCATTCAAATTAGCATATTTTAAGAAAAAACAAGATGAATAGTTTAGTGCTTTATAAAATAAGTGTAGAAGAGAAAAAAATATATAGGTAGTTGCCCATATGACACTGGAAACATATGTAGAAAGAGAGTTAAGAAAGTTAATTTAACAAGAGAAACAGAACCTTCCTGGAAGTCAGTGAGTGTGGAATTTTTTTCAAAGGAAGAAGCAGCTCATTGAGTGACAAAAGGTTGATATGTGAGTGGCAGTGCAAGTTAGACATCTCTAAAATAGTCACAGCAGAAGAAACACGGTCCTGAGTGACTTAGCGGTTAGTCGGAGAAAAACTCCAGGAACAGAAGTTTTTATGATGTCAAACAGGAAAGCATCTTCACGGCTGTTCAATATATGAGTTTAAGGAACACATACAGAACAAGTAAGTGAGCTGTGTTAACAGCTTGTTTAAGGATCTCATGAAAATACATCAGCTGCAGAAATAAATGAAGTACAGTTGTGCCAACCAAACAGTGGAAACAGAGCGACCGAGGTTTGAGAACCTGTAAGTTTATTGCTACAGATAAAACAATTGAATCTTTATTTCTGGTATTTGTACTAAGACCATTTCAAATAGTTCTTACACAGTGTGAAATAGTTCATTATTTTTCATTTTGTATGTAATAAACTCTGATGTTACTTTGTTAGAAGTACAATGGCAGCCTCTTATAAATATGTTCAGTAAGTGAGCACTATGGTAAACAAGTTGTTAAAATAAAAGCTCAAGATCTATCAAGCCATATTACACTTTCTGATCTGACTTATCCTGTATTACGATCAGCTGAGGTGATAACAACATACTATTGACCTTACATTGCCTGCCCTGTTTGAATCACTGAATTTCTTCCGAGATTGTATCTGGGAATACGGCACTGCATGTCTGGCTGCTGTTCATCTCCCTTCCCACCAAAGATGCCACCTTGCTCCCTGTATCCTCATGCACTTTGCAGTGTTCACATCACATGCTGGTGGCATCACAGAACCAAGGTGCAGCCTTTTAAATCTTGACACCATTTCCTACTTTCTTCTGTTTAGCTCCTAAATCCAAACTTACGATTTAAATACCGAAGTTGCAGTTGTGCCATGCAAGTTGTCACCACAGCCCCCGACACTAATTGGTCAGAAAACCTAGAAATTACATCATAATACAGTGACTGAGCTAAGAAAAGCCACTGGCAAATGCGCTGAACTGAGTAGCTCTGTGCAAACTTCTGACATAGTATAGTACTCTGCAGAGTAGTAGAGTAGCTCTCTGCAAACTACTGGAGCATACTGTTCTCAACAGGTTGTAATTTAAAATCCAGCCAAATGTCTGCCACAAGCAGCTTTGATTCCTATTCATGCAATTAGAGTGAGAATGTCTTTTTGCATATCAGCATCAGCTGTTCTACTGTTTTGCTTTTTCTAATTCTTGCAAATTGATGGGATGAGTAAAATTTTTGGAAAGTAATAGCCAACCATTCCAAATACTTCATGACTGTGGTTTCTGTTTTTACAATGATAAAGTAGCAAAGAATGGCGCAGATCACTTTAAGGCCCGTGCCTGACAAAGCAAATGTATTTCTGTTGATTTTACAGAGGCACAGACTAGCGCTAATAACTAAAGCAGTAAATGTGATATCCCTGTTGAGCACTGTACATGATATCATCCTGAATTGTCTGTTCCCTATGATCTAACTCTGTGGAGCTGACTCATGCTGAACATCTTGGTCCTCCAGAATTCAACATAGATTCAATTTTTGATCATTCCCCTCCTCCACAACCCTTCCATCTTGGGCTGCAACCATGCACAAGGGGCTTTCACCCAAGTTAGGATGGTGTACGGTTTGGGAGAGGAAGGTTGAGGTAATCCATCCAGCTGATGGTGATCATGACTTCAGAGGTGCTGCTGAAGAAACCTTGCTGACTTCCTGCAGTGATTCCTTGAGACAGTGCACACTGCAAGCAGAGGATGCCCGTACTGGAGACAGTGAATGTTTAAGTTGGTGAACAGAATGCCAATTAGGTGTCGGGAAAATCTGAAGTTTCTTGAGTTTTGTTACATTAAACCATTCAAGCAAGTAGAAGGTATCCCATCATACATGAGATTTGTGTCTCGGTCGTGGTGACAGAATTTGGGGAGTCAGAAAGTGAATCACTCACCACAGAATATTTATCCCCATAACCACTATAATCATGATTTACCTGGTTCATCGAGTTGGGTTTTTGCACAATGGTGACTCCAGAATGTTGGTAGTAAATGTCAATCAATGTCAGTGGTGAGAATATGAGATGCTTAGTGTCTTAAAGTGAGATACACAGAGAGGACTTGCAAAGCTAAAGACACATATTTCTGTTGACCTGGTGGAAGCAGCATCCTACTTTTATCCATGCTTTTTAGAGATAGAACTCTAACACTAAAGGGCCCAAACAGAGTTGTTACAACACCCATCGTACCCCCACACTGCACCCCTACTGGGTCCAGCAAGATTTGCCTTACTTGACCTAAGTTAAAAGCACTGAAGTTAGGATTCTAGGTGATAATAAATTTGTGTGACACTATATTCATTTTTTCAGCAAAACTTCAGTTGATGGACCAGAACTCAGCATCCAGTTCCAGCTTACTTTTACCACTCAGCTACTTCCCCTCTGAAATATGCAGTATTTCCTCCTTATTAATACCCATCCCCTACCCCTTCTTAGTACCCAGCCCCTCCAAAATCCTCAATGCCCACTGCTCCCAACCCCAATGCCCAATCCCTCATCATCCTCAATGCCCATTCCCTCCTCATCCTCAATGCCCATTCCTCCTCATCCACAATGCCCAAGCTCCCCTCATCCTCAATGCCCAAGCCTTCTTCATCTCTAATGCCCAAACCCTCTTCATCTCTAATGCCCAACCCCTCCCCATCTCCATTGCCTAATCTCTCCTCATCCCCACTGCCAAATCACCCCTAATCCCCAATCCCCAATCTCTCCTCATCCCAATCCCTCTTCATCTCCAATGCCCAATCTCCTCATCCTCAATCCCTCTTCACCCCCAATACCCAAACCCTCCTCTTTCCCAAAGCCCAATCCATCCTCATCCCCAGTTCCAATATCTCTTCATTCCCAATCCCTCCTCATCCTCAATGCATAATCCCTCCTCATCTCCATTGCCTAATCTCTCCTCATCCCTATTGCCCAATCCCTCCTCATCCACAATGCACAATCCCTTTTCACCCCCAAAACCCAATCCCTCCTCATCCCCAATTCTAATCCTTCTTCATTCCCGATTCCTCTTCATCCCCATGGCCCAATCCCTCTTCATCCCTAATGCCAAATCTCTCCTCATCCCCAATGCCCAATCTCTCCTTGTTCCCAATCCCTCTTCATTGCCAATGCCCAATCTCTCCTCATCCTCAATCCCTCTTCGCTCCAAATACCCAATCCCTCCTCATCCCCAAAACCCAATCCATCTTCATCCCCAGAGCCAAATTCCTCCCCATCCTCAATGCCCATTCCTCCTCATCTTCAATGCCCAATCCCTCCCCATCTCTAATGCCCAATCCCTCCTCATCCTCAGTGCCCAATCCCTCCTCATCCC